GGGTGAGTTCAAGCTTCGCAAGGCCAGACGTCACACTTATCGGTCTCATAGCTCAGACTATCATCGAGTACATGCTATGTCTCGGAACATAAAAACCCTCCTGAAGGTGCCTCCAGGTTTCCTGAGCCTAAACCCACATGGCCCAAGGTTTGTCATTGCAGGCGTCCTGGGGCTGACGTGCATCACGCATGCTCGGCGGTGACGAATCTGGCACTGAGTTCTTGTGGTTTCCTTGGGGGGACATTCGGGGACAGTCCGTCTGATTGGGTTCATGCAGCAGGGCATACCGCGGGCTCAGAAGATGTCCAGTGGAACTTTTGTGGAGTCTGGGGGTTCAGGTTCTTCCTAGCACTCATCAAGGAGTTCAGTGAGATGCCTTCGGCGTTTCGTGGGGAGAGCTCGTACAGGCCCACGCGGCCCAGAAAACCAGGGCCCACCATAAACACCAGACCGGTTTGAATGCAAGAATAGTGGGACCAGAGAGAGGTGCCGGGCTAGCTGATCAGCATCAAGAGACTGCATCACGTTGTCGTTGACAGCCAAGCTGAGAATGTGCAAAAGTCTTGCCACCAGCTCCCTGCAAAACACTCGGCTCACTGCACTTCAGGGCTGCAGTGTCATGGAAGATTCGTCAGCCCAGGTGACCCTTGGACTTAGACTCCATCGGAGGAAGGGTCAGCGACGAGTTTTTCGATCCAGCGCAGGGGAGTTCCAACAAGTGAACTCTCCAGAAAATACACATACATGTACTTACTTAAACCTCTTGCATGGCATTTCTCCGGCCTTTCTTTAGAAGGCGGCCATAACAGGGCAGAGCCGTGTACAGCGGATCTTCCGCGACCCGCGAGCACCGTGCATCTTGCATATTCCGGGCGCTGGCCACCCTGCAAATCTTCTAATTCGAATTTTGTTGGTCAGTTGCGCATAGGTGCGCGATTTGGACATGTACAGCATGCCTAGGCTCCAGTAACTCACTGAGCACATCACCGTCATGTCGCATGCCGGCCTCTAATCAGAAGCTGCCTCACAAGAAGCACAAGAGCAATGCCACAGCTGGCTGCTTCGATGATCGACATCATGGGATCTCCATGCAAGGGCAGGTTGTTCTAGGGGATGCTCCTGCATGTCTATGGATTCAGGGCGTGTCTAGCTGTTGCCCATTGATGCGGGAAGGTAACCCTTTGTGTTGTTGTTCCGAAGTGGCGGCTTACTCGCGTGCCCTTGAAATAAGTTCTTTGAAGCCACAGATACTCCCCTACTTTGAGCATGTCGGGCTGCCTGTTGACAGGGCAAACAGACATGTAGAGGGCGCACAATTCGAGCGTCGCAACTTACCACAGCCCTCCAGATGGCGATCATCAGACCTCCGTGTGACTGAACAAGCTTCAGTTTAAAAACGTGGAGACCGCTGCAAGATGGGCCAGTTCAGCTGAATTCAGTTGATCTAGCTACGCTTTGCTGCTGGCATCCTAGTCGGTCAGGCAACGTACCTTCGGGAGGCATTGCCGAGCGTGGGTATACGTGGAATACGTAATGCAAGTTATGCACGTAGATTACGTAGACGTAGGTGGCGTAGTGTACGTGCTGACGTTCGGTGGCATGTGCTTGCTTCGCTTCAGCAAGCCCGTGATGTTGCGTGGACGATGTGTGCGAACCAACGGCCGAAAGCAACTCTCGTGAGCGCAGGAATCAGGCACAGCGACCCAGGCGGCTGAGGTGGTGAGCCCAAGCTCAAGTGAGAGCCGAATGCACGGTGGGGTCGCTTGCTTATAGTAATTATAATACAGAATTGTACGGATACTGATGTGCTGAGGCCATGCTTTGACAGGATTTCACTTTAGCTCGTGATCAGTGGCGTCGACGTAGACCGCAAGGGCTTCTTGGGGGACCTTTCTTGTGACACGGCCTCGTGACCGTGCTCGTGGGAGTAACTTCAGTACCATGTGTATCATGGGGGGGCACTCCTGTCCTGTGAGTTTTGAGATCGTCGTTTTGCTGTGCCCCGCGCGAGGTTTCAACTTCTGAAAAGGCCGTGTCTGCTGGGCAGCCGTGACCTTGACCTGAACACGCGTTGGGACATGTCATCTACTATTTGCTTCAGAGCCCCACGTAAAATGAACATGTTCTTCCGCAAAGGGTAATAAAGGGAGTACTATATTTTCTTTTTGGGGCAAGTAGTTGTTGCTGGAGAGTGGACAACAGCGAAGCCCTCTCGCGGCGAGACCCAGGATTGGTGCTTGTCTCCAATTGCGATTGTTTGTTCCTGGTCTTATTGCTTTTCTCCTTGTGTTTTAGTTCTTCTTGATCTATTGTTTTTGTTGCCTGCTTCTTGCTTCGCTTTGTGCTGTCCTCGTGTTTGCTTTCGCTGTGAGTGTCTTGGCCCCTTGTGTGGCCCTGCTTCTGCGTTTTGTATTTCGTTCGGGGGAAGGGACAGGCTGGGGAAAACAAAAAAACACAAAGAACGAAAGAGAGAAGTGCATGACAGAACGAGAGAAAGACCTATAGGAAGGACACCACGAGCGAGAGAAAGAACGAACGAAACAAATCGTGCGAGGGACAACGACAGAGATATAGTCTATGGGAGCATTGTGTGTTTACACATGGGGGCAGGGCAGCTTCGCCCATCCTTTTCCCCTCTTGGGCCTAAGCCCTGAGGACTGTTCACCCATGTTCACCCTTTATAACCAACTTTTCACAGACTGTCTGGGGATTTGGGTGCAGGCGATCAGGAACTTGCGAATCTATTCCGAACTCGTCATGAACTCGTCGTACGAGCATGGGATTTGCAAGGCAAGTTGGGTGGGGCGGGGGGGGGGGCCCCGCCCAGCCCCCTCTTGTTGAAGCCATGCGGCTTTGCTTTTACCATCAGCTTGAAAACACGTGTGAATGCTGTTGAAGCGCGTCGTACAAGAATTGCGTTTGGGCCACTTACTACCCCCCCTCCAACCCCTCCCGCTTATTCATGCCCCGGAAGCTTGCTTCAGAAAGCATGATGCCATCAAGAGCACTTGCATCGAAGAGCATACGAACACAAGCGAACCCTTTGTTTCCCGAATTGGGGGAAAGGGGGGAGGGGGCTTTGCACCCCGGTCGTGCATTAGAAGCCATCAAGATGAGCCGCCTCAACGTAGGGTCAAGGGTTTGGTGTTCACAAATGAGGGTTGTTCTTTTTGGCAGGTTCTTGTGAGATACTTAGGAGGTCGATTAGGGAAAATGTCGGTCGTGATAAAACGCGCACACCTCTCGAGCGCGCGCAAGCTCGCGCAAGGGCGAACGCAAGCTCTGCGCAAGCTATCTCTTGGTGATGTTTATTCAAAACTTCAAGTTGACCCTCCACATCTACCAGTAAAGCCCGCGCAAGGTTGGCGCAAGGGCGAAGCGCAAGGGATCCTACTTGGCAGCCATGGAACAAGGATATAGAACAACCCTTAAATGGGGGTGCGCCCCCCTTGCTGTGTCGCCTTACCAGCTCGCTTTCGAAGATATCAGGCCATCTAGGAAGAATATGTCTAGGCACTTAGCCCTCAGGAAAACCGAAACTCCGAAACCCAAGTACCCCGAATCCAAAGCTCAACTTAGGGTCCACTAGGCCAACATGAGGCTCACGACTCACAAGAGGGACACACACACATATATTTATATATGTATATACATATACATAAATAAATAAAAAATATGTGTATATATATATATATATATATCACACACACACACATATATATATATATATATATTCGTATAATATGTACAAAGGCGGAAAAAGCCGAGAATGCACAAATTATGACATTACGACATGCAAACCCTCTTAGAACAGAAGCACGAAGGCAACCCATCCAGGAACCCAAAAGGCAGGAAACCGCGTCTCTGTCATTCGATGTGAAACTGCGTGTGTAAGCCTGAAAGGATGCGCGCACAGGACCTAGGCAGGAGCTAGGCGAGAGTGCGTGCATCAAGGCCAAGCCAACGCAGAAACAACAACCCAGGAAAAGAATGGACTAGCGAAAAGTTCAGAGACTAACCCGCAAACCCTGAACGTCATGTGTACTCTTCACAAGTTTCCTGTCTACCCCTAGTCTATACTCCCCCCCCCATAGGTTACCCCCTGAAATAACCCTATTTAGGCTTCATTACCCCTTAATAGCCTTAAACGGCTGAACTCTTGCACCTCCAAGCCGGTGTCGGATCAGGTCCGACGCGACTTTCCAGGCGCGGTGGCCTGATTCAATGTCTGAAGAGAGCACTCTGGGTCTTTACGACAATAAGGGACCACTAAACAAAGCCAAATAGTAGGATCTGCTTATAAAAGAAGACACTAAGGCACCCCCTTATATCGTAAACCCCCATATTATGGAACATGTGACCAGGTCTGTCGAGTTTCAGAATGAGCTATGGACCTTTTCATGCACAGCAGTAGAGCACTGCTGGTGATTCCATCATCAACACAACGTTAATACGGCAACTACCAGCAGAATAGTGGATGCCGTCCAGTGAAAGCCTTGTTTTGCTACGGGGGGTAGGGTGGCGCTGTGAGACGACCTCTGTTCACAAGAGCACACATACGAGATCATGCCTTGTGAATCCCTGTCGTGCGGGACATGTTTGCCGTCAGCTATGTGTGCTTCAGTACCTGTTGAGGGTAATGTGCATTGCAGCGGTTGGCCCGAGGACTCGCGTCTTGGTGAGTCAAGCTCATGGGGCACCCGCATGATCGCCAGACAGTATGATCTAGATTCTAGATATTGCAAGCAGTTGCGCCATGCTACTGCTGTCCAGTCAGAATTTGGGGCACTGTGCCCCGCTAGAAGCAGTGGACATCCTAAACACTGGACTGTTGAGCTGCTGTATGCACACCACCTTTGTAGCAAGTCCAACCGTAGATCAGGTTACAGCTCAGCAGCCTTCAGAGAGAGATTGTACGAGTGAGCTCGATGTGGAGAAAAATCCAGGAGTTTCATATGCAAAGCAGCTTAAGCTTCAAGGCTCATAACTCTTACCGTTAGGAACCGGATTCTGCGATGGCGTGCTGTCAGCATCTGCATGACCCCTGGCTATGCGGCAGCTTGCCACAACGTGGTCTGGGGACCCGTATTGGGACCCATCGCCCAGGAACGACCGGCAGAAGCCTGAAGCCTTGAATCCCGCAAGCCGCACCTGGTACGCGGAAGCCGACCGAAGCTTGTAGGGCCCCCCCCCCCCCCCTAACCCTAAACCCTAAACCCTAAACCCTAAACCCTAAACCCTAAACCCTAAACCCTAAACCCTAAACCCTAACCCTAAACCCCGGCCAAGCCGCCTAAACCCTAAACCCTAACCCTAAACCCCGGCCAAGCCGAGGTCGCCGCAGGTGCGCCCAGCTTTCAAGGCCGCTTTCAAGGCCTCCTTCGGCTGCCCTCAAGGGGGTTTTTTCCCCACTTCTACTGACAGTTCTTAATAGGGATTAGAGTACCCCCTATAAAGGTTTATAAGGGGGGAACTTTTTTTCCCCCTTATACTGACAGTCCTTCATAGGGATTCTTGTACCCCCTACATTAGAATTTCCTACTGAGGACTGTTAGTTTTAGGGGGGATGTCGAGAGCATTCTAGAGGAGGGGGGGCACGTGATGAAAAGAAGAAGGGATGAGTTGTTTGTTGGCTGCTATATATACTATACAGGTGCCAGCGTGGTACCTTTCCCAGTTCGAATCCCCCCCCATCCATCAGCCACCTAAGGGTTCAACCCTTCCTGATACTGCCCGCGTCGTAACCACCACCAGAGCCATTGTACTACAATCCCAAGAATCCCTTACAACAAATCCACAAGAGTTCAGCATTCTTCACCGGACTGCTCCCTACGTCGAATTTGAAGATCTTGCAGATCAGATCGGCGGTTTGCCGCGCACCTCAGGCCGATCATCGCCTCCGTGTTCTTGGCCTCTTCGTTGTCTCCCGGCCCTGAGAGCGGAGAAGACTCAAGGGGGCGTAGAGTAATTTTGTTGAGAGCGGCTCACCTTTAAGAGGGCCACTTCCTTCTGAATACGAAGGCCTGAAATAATCAGCTTGCTCTGATTGTACCTTGCTTGTCCAGGGACTTTCTATATGGAGTAGGCCTGAAGGATCTCCAGTTTCTATATCGCCCTTGGGAATTATTTTTCTTTTTGTTTATATAAAACCCAAGAGGATATTAAAAATATCATTTTTATTAAGGTTCTAAGGGGAGTATAGGTTTAGGATCCGACCCTACCGAAGGGTGGCTGGTGCTCGTGGGATTGGAAGCCTCGGGCCCAAAGTTTTTCAAAGGACAGCCAGGGTTTAGGGCCTGGGTTTAGGGTTTAGGGGTTAAAGTCTAGGGTTTCGGGTGTAGGGTTTAGGGTTTAGGGTGTGCAAGAAGCCCTTGCTGAAATTCCGTCCACTCCTGAAGTATTCAGAACCTGACCTCCACTTTGCCGACTCTGGTTGCTGCCGCTGGACCACCCAAGTAGGCACGTGCTTGCAATTTCAGGGCTTCACAGGCCTTAAACCCTAAACCCTAATCCCTAAACCCTAAACCCTAAACCCTAAACCGACAGAACTGGGGGCAGAGCTGCAAGGGCCCGACGCCCGACGCAGCCAGGCTCCCTGCCGCAAAGGGCTGGCCATACTGGGCCACCCCTCCCTTGTCAGAACCATCCTTAAACCCCTCTAAAACCCCATAAATCCCTAAGACGGAAACGTAGCCTAAACCTCGAAAATTCCCCTTTGTGCTCGCTCGGAACCACCCTTTTTGGGGGTTGCTGGCAGGCTGTGGCGAACCCTAAACCCTTTCCCAAACCCCAAACCCTAAACCCTAAACCCTCCTTTTTGGGGGCCCAGGTTCCTGGCAGGCTGTGGTGAGGCCTGGCTTTTGTGAGCCTCCGCCACCTCTGCACGCAAGAGATTCGAAGAAAGTACGTGTGGCCTTGAGGCCTTGTATATAAGCTTAAAAATATACTTAGATATTTCTTATATTTACACATGTCTTTGTATATGTATATTATGTATATACTGTAGGTAATTTAGGCACATGCCTTTGCAAAAGTGTATGTGTGTGTGTAATTCGTCTGTGGTATCGTTGAGCAGCCCGGCGAAGTTCTGAATTCTTGGTTTAGAAGCCTGAGCTTTGGCTCGCGCCGCTTGTTGATTATTATTTGTTTCGCTTGAAGGTTCCGTGAGGCCCCTAAACCTTAAACCTCTAAACCAAAGACTCAAAGCCCTAATTGGATCCCTGCCTACCTCATGCGAGATATATATATATATATATATTCTGAGTCCTACATGTTCGTCTGTTCGGGTTTGGGTGGTTGGTGGGCCTTGTGGCAAGGTTGTTCAAGGGAGATTTGAAGAGACCTCGCTTTGCTCAGCTCAGCAGCAAAGCGTGTCAAGGCTTCTTTAGTACCCTAAGCCCTGAACCCTAAGCCCTAAACACCTTTCGTAGGACAAGAAGAAGGGCCATGGGTTGCGGGCTATGGCGGTCTCACCCTAAACCCTCAACCCTAAGCCCTAAGCCCTAAGCCGTAAGCCCTAAGCCCTAAGCCCTAAGCCCTAAGCCCTAAGCCGTAAGCCCTAAGCCCTAAGCCCTAAGCCCTAAGCCCTAAGCCCTAAGCCCTAAGCCTGGCTTGGCCGAGTGTCAGCGATGAGACCCCTCAACCCTAAACCTGGGCTTGCGGCGCAGGAGCCACAAACCTGCTATCCGGATGGCAGCATATCCCAGACCACCCAGTACAACTGCGTTAGCAACAGGTACTGATGCTTGGCTGGCTGTAAAACACTTATTAAAAAACAAAACCTACTGAAGGCAGCAGAACTCCCCCAAAAATGCAAGAACATAATCCCTACATTACCCCTACAAGGAAGAATGTTTTTGACTTCTTTTGGGCGGCTCTTAAACAAATACTTCACATCTGAGTGGCTGAGATTGTGCTCTGGAAGTGGGCTTTGAAGGGCGGGTGATGCAGGTGCTAGGAGTTTTCCGTCGGCTCCCCAAAGCTCAACCTAACAAAAACAACCCTAAACCCCAAACCCCAAACCCCAAACCCCAAACCCCAAACCCTAAACCCTAAACCCTTCTTACCTACCGAAGCCCATGGCAGCTCAAGGCGAAAACCAGGGCATGGCCACGCGGCTCGGCACGATGACTCTTGCGGAATGCATGAACCGATGCCCCTCGGCTTGGAAGAGGACCACCACCCCTAGTTTTTTTGGTTTTTGTTTGAAGATCCCTCAACCCTCAACCCTCAACCCTCAACCCTCAACCCTCAACCCTCAACCCTAAACCCTAAACCCTAAACCCTACACCCTAAACCCTAAACCCTAAACCCTAAACCCTAAACCGCAAGCGTTGAGACGCGGATGGTTGTCCTGGCAGTGAAGACTCTGAAGCCCCTCCGTTGGGCAGACGCCCTCTTCCTCAGCAGATCCCCTGCAGGACCAATGACCCCTGAAATAGAGATCCTAGAATGGGTTTAGGGTTTAGGGTTTAGGGTTTAGGGTTTAGGGTTTAGGGTTTAGGGTTTAGGGTTTAGGGTTTAGGGGGGTTTAGGGTTTAGGGTTTAGGGTTTAGGGTTCCTAGAATCCCAGAGCTAGAATCCCTACCAGAGTATATGGACAATAAACACGTTGAGGGTTTCAACACAAGGGGGTTTGGCAGCCCCCGAGGCGTAGACTCGGCGTGCGCTGTCATTCAATATGCGACTCGGCGAAACAAGCAAGCTCTTCTTCGTTGATTCTTCCCAGAAATAAGTAGGCTGCTGCTGAGGGCAGGACCCATGAGACATACAGGTCACTATTGAACGCTTCACAGGGAAGGGGGGGTCAGCATTCAACGGGGGGGGGGGGGGGGGGGGGGGGGGGGGGGGGGGGGGGGGGGGGGGTCAGTACTATTTCCATCAAGAAAGACTTTGGGGTGTACCTGAGGGTCAAGGTAAAGCTTGTGGTTTGTACGAGTGCGTGTTCGTATGTCTTCCTGTCTCAAGAGCATGGTCTTCAGAGCTCTGCGACTCGGGGGCGTGGAATATGGTGGTGGTTTGTGGTGCTGGTGCTGGTGGCGGTGCTGCTGCTGGTGCTGTTGGTGGTGGTGGCGGTGGGGGTGGTGGTGCTGGTGGTGCTGGTGGTGGCGGTGGGTGGCGGTGGGTGGCGGTGGTTGTGGTGGGCGTGTGTGTGGTGGTCTTTGGAGAAAAGGACAGACGGACAAGAAGAAGAGGAATGGGAGGGGGAGAGGGGGGGGGGGGGCGGGCGGGGGGCCCAGAAAGGGAGGGGAAGGGAAGCAAGGGAGGTGGCTGGAGAGAAGTGCTTTACGCGGGCAGTTTAGCCAGAAGCTTAGACGCTATATAGAGCACGGACGAATCCACAAGTGGCGTCGCTTCCATTATGTTCTCATGTCCTCATGTTCTTGGCTTAGCTGATTATAATGATATTCGTATTTTAAGAATCATACGACATAGCAACCATGATAGAAATCTGCTGTTCCTGTTCAGTCCTACACAAAGATACTCGAGGACTGCGGCTCCGACTGCTGGCTTCTGGACAACTGTGGGCCCGAGGCAGGAGAGACAGAAAGAAAGGCTTTCCAGAATCTATAGGGTTTAGGGTTTAGGGTCTAGGGTAGGAATCTAGAGGAATCGGTGGCCCATCTGCCCGACTCAGACCCAGTGGCTCGCTGGCGGCCTCCTGCGCAGCTTTAAAGCTCAACCCGGCAGGTTGAGTCGGGTTGTCAGAGCAGCATCTACTACCGCGACCTCAGCTGGCAGCCGGCGCAGGCCGAAGAGCTGTCCCTCAAGCCCCAGCCGAAGCTATTAAATGCCAAACCCCCTTTCAGAGACCCCTGCAGCTGTCAAGCAAGTGCTCAGGGTATGGCGGAGTTTTGGTATGAGGAGCATGTAGGCCCTGCCAAGACCCAAGACTCTCACGCGCAGGATGCAACAACAACGACGGTTGCCGCATCAACGACAACAACTTCCCCGGTCGGTGCCCCAAGACGTGGGGGGTTTACTTGACCTCCCGATGCACAAGCTATATTTTCATTTCCCTGAGTTGAACTCCTGGAAGCCTGGAAGGTATACACATGTCTGTAGAGGCAGCATATGCAGGATATGTCTGTGTGTGTGAGAGACAAACCAATACTGATAAAGGATTCAGAGGTGCAAAAACCTAGGGTTTAGGGCTTAGGGCTCAGCATCTCAAGTCCGAGCATTCACTAGCCAAGCAGCTTGACAAGCGTTAGAAAAAACAACACCCACCCAAGAGACCCATAACATTGAGAAAGTATAAAGTTCATTCAATACATTCCCAGTAGGCTTAAAGCTCAAAGTCCAGTGGACCCAAGACCCGAAATCTAAGGCCCACAACAGATCCTATACCCAAGCCTTAAACTTCCCCGGTACCCGTGCCTGTTTGTTGGGACAAAGTGCTCCGGTGAGAGGAGGGAAAGGGGGGCGGGGGAGGGGGGAGGGGGGGGCGAGTCCCCCCCCCCTTCTGTGGTGTGGCTGTGGGTTGGTTTTAGGGTTTAGGGTTTGGGGTTTAAGGTTTAAAATAGGGTTTTAGGATTTAGTTTAGGGGTTACGGTTTACGGGTTAGGGTTTAGGGTTTAGGATTTAGGAGAGAGGGTTTAGGGTTCAGGGTTTAGGGCTTTAGGGTTGGTCCAGGGGAGACCGTAGACCATGGGGCGGCAGGATACCTAGGGAGGGGGTGGGGCCGAGAACGCACAGCGCACAGCCATATAATGTGTATATATATATATACCGCGCAGCGCCCAGCAATAATATATATATATATACGTATATGTATATATAAGATCTATATACATATGTATACGTATATATATATATGTATGTATTTGAAATACGTGTCATGAATTAAACCAAACAAAGTTGCAATCTGGTTGCAAGATTTTCGCCATGCCCGACTCCCCGCAAAGGTGCATTCTAGTACAATCCCAATTAAGGACTGTTAGTATAAGGGGGAACATGATTCTAGTACCCCCTATTCAAAGAACTATTTAAAACTATTCGTATCAGGGGGAACATCCCAAGCTTTACGTCTATTTTAAGGAGAAGTCTGCAGCCTGAGCCCCATAAGCACGAAGCGTTCAGGACAACTGCTACGCGGATGGCGCCAACGGCGTGTACGCGTGCTGGCCCCAGGTTCGTAGGACCATAGGGTTTAGGGGTAAGGGTTAAGGGTTTAGGGTTGTTGGACCGTACTGACTGTAGTGGTTCAGGGTTTAGCAAGGGTTTAGGGTTTAGGGTTTCGGGTGTTGAGCGATTGGGGCACCCGATACCACCCGAATGCTTTGGACACCCACCTAGACCCCCAAAGTATGAAGAAAAAAAGCCCCCAAACCCTGAATAGGGCCAGTATTTTGCATATTTTGGGGGTTGAGGTATGGTTTCTGACTCCTCGAACCCTGGTTGGGTCATGGACAAACATACAGTTTGTTCTTTCATCGACCTCGCGCCTTGTGCAGTAGCCACAGGCCCATGATCTCTCGTTTCATCTTTCCAGGCACGTCTGAGGGGCTCCGGCGTATTGGTACAACTGTAGATGTGTAGGCATCTCAGCGTAGCTGGGGGTCTCCATGTACGGCCCCCCAGGTGCACAGCGTTGAGCTACTGCTCAAATCAGGCGCCAAATCTGCCAAGCATCGGCTTCGCCTGTGTTGAGGTTTGTTTGTGGGGCCTGTAACCCTAAACCCTAACCTAAACCCTAAACCCTAAACTAGAGCACGTAGAAGTCCGAAGCCGGTTGAGGAGCTTGTGGCTTGGGATTCCTTCTTGAGGCTACAGGATTCACGAATCCACGCATGGGGGTCATCTCACTTGAGGAGGGAGGGAGGCCATGTCAACTTCCTAAACTCGGGCCCCCGAGACTGAGATGAAAAACAAGCAAAAACCCTCCCCCCCTGGGCAGGGCAGCGCCACGCAGCTCGGAACGATGACGCTCAGTTCCTGCATCGACCAGTGCAACTCCCGGAGCGATTGCTCTTCGATCCAGCACCCCTGGTGCAGAAAAAGTAAAGTCATGAGATGGGCGATAACCCGGGCTTACATCGTTGTGGCAGCATTTGCGACGATCTGAAGACTCTAACGCTACCCAAAGTGAGCGCGAACTATTTTAGGAATGGGGAAGGTTTCCATCCGCGTGTCCTGCTCTGCTGTTAGACACCAGACTTCAGCCAACGCGGATGACCAGTCAGTGAAGGTAATTTGATGCATTGGGAGGGGGGGGGGGCAGGGTGGGTCCTAAGATTGGGGAGATATTCATCTCCCAATAAGAATCTGATGCCACCTTGTTCTCCATGAAGCCATGGAGGTCAGCATGAATTTCTGGTGTTCAGGTGTCATGTACCTTCACAAACCACCAACACTCGGGGGGATCCCATAACTTCATGAACAGCAAACGATATTTGGGGGTTATCCGCAAACCCCTGTCTTTTTTTTACTGGCGAATATTTTATATAGATTTCTGCTTGTTTTTTAGTATCCGCGAAAGGCCCGCGAAAGCGCGGCGGAAGGCGCCGCGAAAGGGATAATTTGGTTGATAGAATATCATGCCCCTTAACCTTCAAACCTCATGCGAGTGCGTTTAGCGACCGCCCCTAAACGCACCCGTGGTGCAGGTTTCAGCCTATTTGGGGTTCATACTGATAGAATATCCTGCCCCTTAACCCTCCAGCCCCAATGCGAGTGCGTTTAGGGACCGCGCCTAAACGCACCCATTGCGTAGGTTTCAGCCTATTTGGGGTTCATACTCTGATAGAATATCCTGCCCCTTAACCCTCAAGCCCCAACGCGAGTGCGTTTAGCGACCGCCCCTAAACGCACCCGCGGTGCAGGTTTCTATTTCGGGTTCATGCTGATAGAATATCCTGCCCCTTAGCCCCCAAGCCCCAACGCACTCGCATTCCTAAACGCACCCGTGGTGCAGGTTTCAGCCTATTTGGGGTTCATACTGCTAGAATATCCTCTCCCTTAAGCCTCAAACCCCAATGCGAGTGCGTTTCAGGACCGCCTCTAAACGCACCCATAGTGCAGTTTTCAGCCTATTTGGGGTTCATGCTGATAGAATATCCTGCGCCTTAACCCTCAAGCCCCAATGCGAGTGCGTTTAGGCACCGCGCCTAAACGCACACCTTCTACAGGTTTCAGCCTATTTGGGGTTCATACTGATAGAGCATCCTGTCCCTTAAGCCTCAAACCCCAATGCAAGTGCGTTTAGGGACCGCCTCTAAACGCACCCATAGCAGGGCTCAGCCTATTTGGGCTTCATACATACTTTGTTTTGCTCCCCGACGAATGCGTTTCAAACGCAACCTTTTGGGTCGAGGGGATTTTATGCCTGATGCTTGAAAGCATTCACTTTGTTTCTTCTAGTGGCGGCCGGTGGTGGTTGCAATGCTGGGGAGGGGATCAGGGGCAAGGTGCTTTTTGGAAGGCTTCAAAAATGCACACTGATCCCTGTCGAGTGCAAAAGTGCAGGCGAGGATGGTTGATGGCACGTGCTGGAGAGCAAGATCTCCGCGACTAACTGCGAAAGTGCTTGATTTCACGCTGTTTCTGAGAGGAAGCGCACGCTGAAAATCGCGAAAGGCACGCGAAAGGTCCGCGAAAGGGACGCGATTGGGCGACAGGTCCTGGAAAGGTATTGGCCAGCCGTGCTTCCAACTTCCATTGAATCTGGCTGATAGAACATCATGCCCCTTAGCCCTGAAACCCGAAACGAGTGCGTTTAAGCGCGGTCCCTAAACGCACTCGCATTGGGGCTTGAGGGTTAAGGGGCAGGATATTCTATCAGTATGAACCCCAAATAGGCTGAAACCTGCACCACGGGTGCGTTTAGGGGCGATCGCTAAACGCACTCGCGTTGGGGCTTGAGGGTTAAGGGGCAGGATATTCTATCAGCATGAACCCCAAATAGGCTGAAATTTGCACCACGGGTGCGTTAGGGGCGATCGCTAAACGCACTCGCGTTGGGGCTTGAGGGTAAAGGGGCAGGATATTCTATCAGTATGAACCCCAAATAGGCTGAAACCTGCACCACGGGTGCGTTTAGGTGCGGTCGCTAAACGCACTCGCGTTGGGGCTTGAGGGTTCAGGGGCAGGATGTTCTATCAGTATGAACCTCAAATAGGCTGAAACCTACGCAATGGGTGCGTTTTGGCGCGGTCCGTAAACGCACTCGCATTGGGGCTTGAGGGTTAAGGGGCAGAATCACTGAAAGCAGCACATTGATTCCCCTTCTTGTGATGAGAGAGCAAAGTGCGTTTTGACGGTCCTGGAAAACGCACACTGGAGCTTGTATTTTGTTTTGTCGACCACTTGTCCACAGCGAAGATTCCCCTTCTTGGGGTGAGAGGGCAAAGTGCGTTTTGGGGGGCCTGGAAAACGCACCCAGCTTCCCTGCTGTTTGTACTTGGTTATGTCGACTATATCATCGACGAAAACTCTATGCTGATTGTATGTCGCGCGGCAACGACTGGCGTCGACCTCCACGTGGTCGCCGCGCGGGCAACCATGCTGCCGCATTAGTTTAGGGGTTTTTGTCTGTGCGTGAGTTTAACGGGCATCTCCCTGTGCTAGGTTCGGATGACGTGCCATGGGACCAGGGGGTTTTTCACGGTGCTGGGGTCAGGGTGGGAGCGCGAGATGGGTTACGCAGCATGGGCTAATCCAACTCCGACATGGTCGGACCCCCCTTCTGTAGGGAGTTGGTCTTTGGGGTTTTTGGTCCTTGGTCCTTGCGTCCTTGGATTTTTGCGGGGTCCCCAGGGGGCGGAATGCCAGTCATCCTCGGCCACTCTGGCTCAAAGCTGTCGCGGGGGCCGTTGGGGGGGGCTGCGCATGGTGCGGTCTCCCTCTCCTCTGCCGTGTGTGGTGCTGCTGGTGGTGTGCCGGGTGCGCCAGTGAGGTTAGCCCACCCGTGTGGTCGGCGGTTGGGCTCTTTACGCTGTGGTCCGTGGGGGGTTCTTGTTTACGGGGTCTTGACCCTAAGTTGCCTTCAGGCTGGGTACGGGGTGGGTGGATTGGGGGTCCCCTCGGGTGTTGGCGCGCATGGTGAGAGGTCCAGGGAGAGGGCGGCTTACTCGGACGGGTGACTCCTCCTTTCTCCTTTCTCTGGGGGGGGGTTGGTACGGGGCGGGAGGAAGGGTAGCGCCGTTTTGCGGGCCTCGGGCGGGATGGGAAGGTGTAGGGCTCCACGGGAGGCCTCTAGGGGGCTGGCACGTTTGCGGGTTAGTCGGGCGGTGCGTCGGGGTAGACAGGCGGGAGGCTTCATGCGGAGGATGCGGGAGAAACATGCTCGACTTCGACGGTGTAATACAAGCATACGTATGGCAACATGGAACACGAGAGGGTTAGGGGTAACAGGGGGCGGGACGGACCAAGAGCTCAAAGTCAAGGTACTGCTCACTCGAATGACGGAGCAGCAATGGGACATTGTTTGTCTTACGGATTTGCAGTTTCCGGAGGATGGGATACGTGAGTACCATTTTGGGGGACGGGAATGGTTTCTGTTGGTGCGGGGAATGGTGGGCTTCTTGCTGTCGGATGTGTGGTATGATTGGTGGGAACGGGGCGGAGGGGTGGTGTACCAGCGGCGGGCAAGGGCAGCGGCCATTAGCATTCCCAGACGGGGCTGGCGTAGGGGTCTCTGGATTTGCTCGGTGTATGCACCCACAAGCGCGTCGGGAGTTCGGGAGCGGACAGCGTTGAGACAGGAGGTGTCTGTTTTGGTGGAGGCGGCTCCTCCTACAACCATGGTCATCATAGCAGGAGACCTCAACGCCGAAATGGGCAACAGCGTGGATGTGAGTAGGTCGGGACACACTATCATGGGCCCGTTCGCGGGGCCAAAGGTCACCAAGCCGGGGGCAGAGTGGCGGGATTGGTGTGAGCGAAACAGTTTCCGGGAGGCGGGCAGTCGTTTCAAGCAGAGGCGCCGCTGCACATGGCGGCACCCACGGTACCGCTCGGATCATGAACTCGACCATTTTCTGGTTAGGGAGCAAGACTTGTGGCATCTTCAGTCATGTCGCATCCTGTATGATGGTCCGAGTGTTAAGGGCTCATGGACGGACTACACGGATCATAATCCGGTTGAATGCGTGCTACGGGTGGGGAAGTGGTGGAGGCCTAAGAAGGGCCGAAGGGCCTCCAAACAGAACCCGGACTTAGCAAAGCTGCGCGGATCAGGGGGGCAGGCAAAGGAGCTTAGGGAACGCTGGCAGGGTTTGGTGGAAAGTCGTCTCAGGGACCTGAGACAGGAATTGGATGGCAACGTTGATGAGACGCATAAGTGGGAAAGAGTGTGTGAGGTCTGTCGTGGGGTAGCCTTGGAGGTGTGCGGAGTGGTAAAAGATGCAGGGGGGTCGCCGTGGCTGCAGCTGCATGCCAAGGAGCTGCAGGAGCTGGGCGAGGGAATAAGGGAGGCGCAGTTAAGGGACGCAGCGGCGGGGGAACAAGAGGATGTCGCGGTGCGGGCCAGATTCCGGAGGCGGTTGCATGAGGCTAGGAGATGCAAGAGACTGTGTGTGCGCGGGTGGAAGGAGGACTGGTTGAGAGAACGGGCGCAGGAAGCCGATGCACTGATAGGGAAGCCGGAGGCCCACGGAGTGTTTAAAATTGTCAAACAACTGCTGGCGGCCATAAAGGGGGACAGACGGGGTGGGGGGCGGGTCCGGAGTTCGGGCAAGGAAGAGCTGGAAGCATGGAAGGACCACTTCGAGGCTATACAAAAGGGGCGTGGTCAGGTCACAGAATCGGTGTGGGGGGACGTCGAGGATAGGCCCGAGGAACCGGGACTGGCGGATTTCCCCACATGGGAAGAAATGCTGAGGGCCATTCGGGACATGAAATATGGGAAGGCCGGAGGGGTGGACGGAATGGTGGCAGAATACTTCAAGTGGGCGGGTAGGGAACTGCACGACCGGCTGTTTGAGTTTCTCACGTTTTCGTGGCGCTCCGCCACGCGGGCGGACGCGGGACGGGAAGCGGAATTGTGGCCGGAGGCATGGCGAATCGGTATAGTGGTACCAATTTGGAAACGAAAGGGTAACTGGAAGGATAAGAATTCGTGGAGGGGCATCACACTACTGTCTGTGGGTTCCAAAGTTTTAGCGCGCATTTGCGCTCACCGCCTGGCCAGATGGACCCAGCCGTGGTTAAATGCACTGCAGTTCGGGTTTAGACCTGGAAGCGGGGTAGACGATATACAGCAAATAACAAGGGGGGTTCTGGAAGAAGCTGCGCACTCCGCGCACGATCGCGTGTACCTTTTCCGCTTTTATGATCTAGAAAAAGCCTACCCTAAAGTGGCACGAGGTGCCTTATGGAAGGCGCTGGAGAAGAAGGGCTGTCCAATGTCTTTTTTGCGAGTATTACGGGGGATCCATGAAGATCCAAAGTGCAAAGTCAGACATCAGGGGCGTTTGTCATCTACTTTTGTGCCGGTTTAGGGCCAGACGGTCCCGAAGGGCAGAGCAGGAGGGACAGACGCCTGGGTTGAACTGGGTTTTCAAGGTGGACGGGAAGGTGGGCAAAAGGCGGCTGGACCGGATCGAGGAGGGCCGAAACATCAAACGGGTCTGTCTGGGAGATTTTGCTTATGCAGATGACACGGGCATCATGGGGGAAGCGGCCGAGGTAAGGGGGGCGGAAAACGTACTTGTTCAGACAATACGGGATTTCGAGGGCAAAGTCAACCAGGAGAAAACAGAGGGCCTTCGAGTAATGAGGGAGGTGCGACCGGGCACGGACGTACCTTGGCTAGGGGAAGCGGGGACGGTAAAGCACGTGGGGGCCATGTTGGCGGAACGGGCAGGGCATGCGGCGGAAACACACAGGCGGGCGCAAAAGGCGGCGGGGAAAGTGTCTGAGGTGTCCGGGGCTTGGCTCCGAGGGCGCACAAAACATTACGCCCGCACTGACATCAGCGTGTCTACGCGCATCAAGGTACTAAAGGCCGTCATAAAGGGTACCCTAATGAGCTTTGCGCGCACGCGCGCGTGGCAGACCAACCAGATCAAGCGCATGCAAGGGGTCATACACATAGCCATCCGGAGGTGTTTAGGCTATCGCCTTCGGGACCTGCGAAAAGCAGGTGTCACCAATGAAGTGTTGCGAAACCTGGCGCAGTGGGAAAAATTTGATACGGCAGTCCGGAGGGCCAGCCTCCTGTGGCTCGGACACGTGGCGCGTATGCCGGTTGAGGCTCCGCAAAAACAGGTCCTGTTCGGCTGGATTGATGGGCATGGCGCGAAGATGAGGTGCCCTTTTAAGCAGGCGCAGTGGCTAAACTCATGTCTGAGACACGCCGGGATCCCGGAAATGGACTGGTTCCGAAAAGCGCAAAATCGCAGTAAGTGGCGGGAGGAGGTGTATAGAGCTTTTCCAGTGGAGGTAGTGTTGCAGGGGCGGGAAAGAGATTTGGATAAGTGGCGGTTGGGGAGGCCGGTGCCTGCGTGGGCGACGGTGCAGGGTGAACCAGAGCCAGAACGGGAGCATGAGTGTAGCGAAGATGAGTTGGGGATCAGACTTAAGGGTCATGCGCCGGGACACGAGACGCAGATGTACAAGAGTCAAAAACGCCGGAGGCGACTACGAACAGACCGCCGAGCTGGTCGGGGTCAGGGCCAGCCTACGTGTCCTGTGTGTCAGAAGCAGTTTGGAAAATTTAACCAACTGTCCTTTCACTACGAAGCCGAGCATGCCATATGTGATCCGACGCTCACTACTGTGCAGAGCTTCACGTGCCAAACATGCCAAGAAACGTTTCGGCGGGCAGGGCAGTTAAAGAGTCACGTCTGTCCAGCTGTGGGAGTTCTAGAGCGCATGCGGACCGTGGATACGGTGGAAGATTTTGTGGAGTGGGAGGACGCGGTCGCGCAGCCTCCATTGCCGCAGGAGTTGCATGTGTACACTGATGGGTCCGGGGGGTCAGAGGGAGGGACGTCGGCGGGATGGGGGGTAGCAGTGTTCGGAAGCCAACAGGGACAGGTGCAAACGGATATGTGGAGGGAAGCTGACCCGTGGTTGGCAGCCTTGTACGGTCCGGTGCTGACGCAAGTGTTTGATAAGTTGTGGCTAGGAGCAACCGAGCACACGAACAATACAGGCGAGCTATCGGCCATTGGCGAAGCGTGCAGATACCTGATAGACCTCCATGAGCGGATGCCCTCAGAGTGGTCCAGAACTGTGTACTTGTACTATGATTCGGAATACGCGTATGGGGTGGCGACCAGACTCACGCGGGCTCAGGCCAATCAGGTTCTCGCAGAGACAGTGGCAGGATTGGTAAGTGCGGTGCGTCGCCTCTATGTGCTGCATTTCAAACATGTAAAAGGGCACAGTGCCAATCGGGGAAACGAGATAGCGGATGCACTGGCGCGACGCGGGGCCATGGGTCGCGTCTCTCCCCACTGCGCACGCTGGATCGAACAAGCCGTGCCAGCTCCGCCTGGCAAGCCGAGGGGGGCAGGGGGTGCCACAGCCTCCGGTAAAGCCAAACCAAAGGCCCGACCAAAACGCAAGCCTAGCGCAAAGCCTAAGGGGGGGGCAAAGCGGTCGTGGACAGGACACGAGGTTGGCACATGTAGGTCATGTTTGCGCGAGTTCCGTCTCGGGGATTTAGCGCAGCACGAGCCCGTTTGCAGAGGGGGGGGAGATGCTAACCTTCGATGCCGGTACTGCCAAAGTCAGTTCGGGAGCATAGGAGCTAGAAAAAACCATGAACGGTACTCGCACGCAAACGAGGCACTGCGGGATGGGGTTATCGGGAAGTTGTCAAAGCGCCGCACCGGCATCTCGGGTGGGGGTGGGGAGGGTTCCGGGCAGGGAGGGAACAGTCCGGGGGAGGGGGGGACTATGGGCTGCGGATGATGTGTCTCTGCGCGGCAGCTTTTGGTGGTTCAAACAAGTGCCTCCTGACCTTGGCAATGGCCCCGCGCGATGGGGACCGGAAACGCAAGCTGGAAGACCTACAAGACCGAGTGGGCGAGCTCGCAGCAAGGCAGGAGGAGCACGGACAGAGGTTGGACAGGCTGGACCTGGCGCTGGAACGGGAGGTGGCGTACCGCCATCTACGGGTGGAAGGGTCAAAAGGGCTGGAGGCCCTGTTCAAGCAGGTGGAGGATGGGGGTATGGACCGAGGGCAAATCCGGGCCAGGGCGGCGAGAGTTCTTGTGGAGGAGGCCCGGGAGGCGGTCGAAAGTCCGGCAGATGAGGCCCACCTTCAGGAGATCGCGCAAAGCCTTTCCAACCGCAAAAGAGCATGCCCGACGGTGGAGGCACGGATGGCGGCGGCCCGAGCTTTCGAGACAGTCGAAAGCCAGGGCCTGGTGGAATGGGTACAACCGGGAAACAGGGGCAGTTTTTCGGTGCGGCTGGCGGCGGGAGAGCCTTCCAGGGTGGCTTTCGAGGGGGTGCGTAAAGAGCTCAACTGGGTCCTTTTCGTACTGGCACGGGCAAAAGTTGGGCCGGGTACGCAGATATACCCTGACAGGGGCCCGGCAACGCGGCGCATGGAAAGGGGTCGGGGCAAAGGCAATGGCAAAGGCAAGGGGGCAGGCGGGTCGGAGGGGCAACGCGGCGGGGGCAAAGGCGGGGCCAGAGGTGGTCGAGAGCGTGTGGGACGCGACTGAGGCAGGGCCGGGGGGGGGGGACGCTTTGCTTGTTAGGTTTGTTTCGCGGCGCGGCTTTGAGAGTTAGGTAGGGCCTCCCGGGGGAGATGGGATCCAGGGCTGGGTGGAGGAGGGGGGGGGTGGGTCTTGGAGGGTTCCTTCTTTCTTTCCTTTTGGGTTCTCGCTCTTTGGGGGAAGGCCATGAGCCGACCCCCGCAGTTGGGGCATTCCTATCGGGAAGCCCCGGATGTCTGGGCGTCACCTACGTGGTGGCGCCCGTATGTTGAGCGAGCTTTCCTTCCTTTTTTTTCCTTGACAGAGAGCCCTGATTTCGCCCTCTTACCTGCCTCTTAGCCCCTCCGGGGACCCCCGCGCAGTCCTATATGGAGGGCTCCTTTAATTTGCAACGCCTGGAGGCCGCCGCGCCCAACGCGGAGTTTACGCTACTTGGTCGGCTCGGGGGAGTAGGGGCTACCTTCGGCGCACTCTTCTTCTTCTTCTGATTTTATGTCTCCGCGAAAGGGCGCGAAAGGTGCGCGAAAGGCGCGGCGCTTGGTACTTTCCTGGGAGAAAGAATATCGGACAACCCCCATTTGAAGGAATAGTCCAACGAAACCGAAGATACCCTGCCGGATTTCGGCCTAAAGTCTTAAACAACTTCGATGACATCGAACATTGTGCTTTCTGTGCTTGATGAGAATGAAACGCTGCTATGGTTGAGCATGGCTGAGAGAGCCCTGTTCTGAACCGGACGTGATGAACAAGGCAGGCACTTCCTCTAAAATACAACGAATAAGGTGCCCCTTCTCAACAATAGTGAGAGAGGTGCTTTCTGATCAAAGTACGAGCGAACTTAAGATCTTTTTTTGGTGTCCTTTTGGCCAGGGTCGCTTTCAGTCTTGTCTCTAGGAGGACTTCCCCAAGATTGTTTTTGGCTTGTTCAGCCTTGAAGTCCTAGGTATGATTGCGGCACAGACTGCTGGCTGATGATCGGGACGGAATGCGGCACAGAAGAGCCCACTTCCTGTGGCAGCAGCATTTACTACAAGGCCTTTGCGCTGCTCGTGGCTTCTAGGGCTTATAGGGCTCAATCGATTCGAGGAGTGCCTCTTTCTTCGGTTTCAAGCGCGAAGCAAATCGGACTTTGAGAGCGAGAGAGGCAGAGAGAGCTCTGAACGGGACTTGGGGTGCGGAGAAGAAGAGCTCTTCTCAAAGTAGCACGAGGCATTCGTTTGCGGAGTCAACAAGTCAAGGCCTTTTTTCGCCAAAGAAAACTCGAGCGTGCTCCCCTGCCCAGTACAAGATCCAGACGGCGGGCCTGACCTCTTGTCCTACTGATCTGACGCAGGCCCCTTGGTTTGATTAGCCAAGTTGAGTCTATAGCTTGGCATTTGCATGTCAAACAGATACTTCTTCCAGCTCTTTAGAGAATTTCCTCCTGAATCATGAATTTACACAACTTGTGGGCTCGGCTTGGTTTGCAATCACCCGGAGGTCCTGGCTGTCTTACAGGTTCAGATGGCACCGCTCAGGCTGACTCAAGCTCCCATCCCCTGAGACCCACCGTCCCACAATCGAAGGTCTTGAGCGAGGCCGGCTGCCAAGCAGCTGCCATAGCTCTTGGCCCCTGGGATGTCAAGAAGCCTTTCAGTTCCATGCACCGATGCACCTCTCCTTGTGCAATCGCGGTCGTGTTTTTGCGAACGTGCTCGAAAACTACACGCTGGCAGTCCACACATGTTCGATCGGCATGTCTTATCCTGTGGCTTTGCTGCCAATGCGGTGGCATGTCACGACTCACGTTTCGTGTGCGCTAACTTACATGGCAATCTAGATGGGAGCATCAGCTGGGTCTGGTGTTTTGTCTGGTCAACATGTAATCCCTCACCTGCAGCCTGCTTGAAAAAGATTGTATGCAGACATATAAATATATGTATATATATACACATATGCCTAGACGGCATCAGCATACCCAAGACCATTCATCCTAAGAGCCTTGAACTTTCAACGCCATTGCAAGGAAGGTCGTTGACGACGCAGGACGACACTGAATGGCCGAATGGTTGCTATGTGCACCTCGGCCACAACAGAGGCTGCGGTTGCGCTGCGCATGGATCGCCTCAGTCCCTACCCGAAAATGTCGCTTATCGCCCCCCCCCTCCCCCCCCGCGCCCCCCCCCACCCCCCCAACCCGCCCCCCACGGCTTTGTGAAATTACAGGTGTTTTTGTAAGGCAGGGTACACGCAGCACACCCTCGGAGTCTGGTAAGGAAGGACTCTGAGACCCTCGACTCCATGAGCTTTAAGCTGTAATATCAGACATTCTGGGAGAATGAACAGGCTTTATCTTTTTCTTCTTGTGGGGCTTCTGGTTCGACACTCCCACGCCTTCTAAACTAAAAGGGCAGGGTTTGCAACTCATCACAACTCCTTAAGGGGCTTGGGCTAATAGGGGTTTGCCACTCATCAGTCCTGCTAATACCTGCGGTTCGGCTCATTATCCCAGCGCGAGCTGAAGAGTCGACAACCCACTGCAACCCACCCCCCCAAACGCCAGCACCACCACACCGTTGGCCCTCGCCTAGGCTGGGCAACCAGGTTACCTTCAACGCCAACGCAGGCAAGGCGCAGGCGTCAGCCGCGCTCATGTGCGAGGCCAGTGCTTCGAAGAGAATGAACATCCTGGATGGTCTCGGAGAGTTGCTTTGTGTCTGTGTATGTGCGTGCGCATAGTTCTTGCCTAGTTGCTGGAAGGTTGACACGTTGTAGGGGGGGGGGGGGGGGGATTGCAACCCGAAACCCTAAATCCAGAGAGCCGAACTGTGGGCCGCCGTGGGCATGGCTCGGTCCGCAGGTGGGGATCATGGGCGGAGATCGCAAGACGAACACCACTGCACGGAAAGCCGAATTGACAAAGAGCTCCTCAAATGGGCTGTCAGCCCAGAGCACATTCATGATCAAGTTTCGGGAACAATGATTTTTTCTCAGTGTGCTGATTGCTGACACACCCAGTCTACAAAATTCTTTTGCCACCAGAACGGTGGTGCCGGTCCGCAGCTGGAAATCGCCAGGCAACCTTAAGCCACATTGCCCCGCAAGCTTCTCAGACCGTTCTCGATTGCCTCAAAAGCGCCAGCACAAGAAAGTCTCTCTGCGCGCATGCACGCATGTATGCACGCATGTATGCATGTCTACGCCAGCCTACCTGGAATGTAGTGGTGCTGGAAGGCAGCGAGTAAGCTTTTTATTTGATGTTTACAATGGAACGGGGATGACCAAGGGGCCGGGGGGCCCTGGGACTGATATGCCAGGCTCCGGATCCGTTCGCCTCAACGACAACGACTCAGGCAGGCTCTTGCTTGGCACTTGCGTGCGCGGCTACAAATGCAAACGCCTAATTTCTTAAACCTGTAAAAGCCGGAGAATCCCTGAACCCTAAGCCAAACACTCCTTGCGTTTCATGCTTTATGGGGTGAAATTCTTCTAAAGGCAAGCACGCCGCCGGTAATCCTGGCTTTTTCATGCACAAAGAACATTCTACGGTCTTGCAGAATTGCGGGGTGACGAGGTCGAAGAACTGAAGCCCCAAATTAGAGACCACGATAGGGTTGAGGGTTTAGGGTTTAGGGTTTAGGGTTCAGCATACTCTAGGACTGTTGTGTTGCTGATGTATTGGCAAGGGCTTTGGTTCTTCGCTGGTGACTGTATGTAAGGCCAAGTTGAGGAACCCCCGAATCTGATCTCCCACTAGTCCCAAAATGTCGTAACATGATGCCGCGCAACGTGTCTTAGCATAAAGCTGGGCAGGCTTTCTCCGAGAATGTCGTACAGTAGACCCCGCATTGCTGTGGCTAGTCGGGTCCCTAAACCCTAAACCCTAAGCCCTAAACCCTATGTTCTTGTTTTTTGGCATGCGGCACGTTTGGGGCCGTGGAACATTCGTCGACTTTGTAAACTCGCTTTTCGTGTCCGCTTTGCCGTTTTCATCTGTATTTACAGTGTTTCCTCTGGGTCACCCTTCCCAAACCTTTGCGACACCTCGGTGTTTTTTTCGCAGTTGTTGGATTCTTGGTCTGCCCTCTGCTTCCTGACAGTCATTTCTATCGGTTTTTCCGCGTTTTCTCACGCGCTCTCCTGGTTCAATCTTACGTTTCTGTGGCCGGAAAGCCACGAAACTATGCGGTCAGCGATGTTTTCGCACCTGTCCCATTTTCCTCTTTCTGCCTTCCGTTGACTCTTGCCTGCCTTGTTTTTCACCAG